ACAGAAATATCCCCAAAGCCCCACCGCATGAAAATAGATATATGAAATATGGCATATTCATGCAGTAGAATATTACAAGGAATTAAATAAAGCAAATCAATCTCAGCTTTGCACAACAATTAATTTAATAAAAAGCATTTTTTTTCTAGTGCCCATTAGGTGCGAGGAACTAATCTAGGAACTAGGATAACATCAGTTAAGAAAACTGACAGTATCTCTACTCTCAAGCAACTTACACTCTTGAGGTGGAGAAAGATAATAAATAAGTAAATTATATATAAAGTGCACTAAAAAGTGATGAATGCCTATCAACAAAAGGATAAGTGAAGCATGGTAAGGGGACTCTGGAACACTTGAGTTGAAAAAATGGGGGTGATATATATATAGGGGGAGTGTAGAAAGACTGCTATTAGCAATGTGATACTAAATGGACTTAATATTGAGGACTCTTAGCAATAATATTGAATGACAACCACACATCCTGATACTGTGCCTCAATTCTGCCCGTTAGTAGAAAAAATTTCTATGTAAACTTGCAGGTGATCTTTTCCTCTAATGTGAGGAAGGGGGAGATCTTGTTGAGAGGGAAGAGGTACAAGTTCAAAGCAGCTTGGATCACTGAGTCACCACTACTATATAAGGAAGTTATCAACTGAAAAAGCTGTTATTATTATGTGTATCCCTAAGAAGGGAGAAAATTCTGTCTGTAAATTATTCATCAGCTGCCCTGGCCAGTTTGGCTCAGTGGTTGAGCGTCAGCCTGCAGACCAGAGAGTCCTGGGTTCGGTTCCTGCTACCAGCTTGTACCACACACACACACACACAAAATTATTCATAAGCTGCATCCTGATTTTAAAAAACATTTAGAGTTATTGACATATTGGATTACATTGTCAATAAAGTGGAAAAAAATAGTCAATGTGGACATTTTCAACTGGCTACAAGATAATACGTACCTTATACCTACATGTCATTTGCCAGTTAAAGAAATAGCTGGTAGCTACACATTTGAAATGCTATCCTCAAAATATTTGTAATAGGTGGCCTTTCTTTCTTTCATATACATGAAATAATTATATATTCATTTGAAGAATATTTTGAGATAAATACATTTTTTTTCAAGATTTCAGAGGTAATCTTCATTTCAATTATTCAAAAAGTAAACAGAAATTGAAATATTTATTTAATAATGTGGGTCAGTTCTTTTGTGGCAGGAGAGTAAAAAGCCAGGAAAATTCCTGGGCAAGTGGAAGGGGAAACTGAGACAAGAAAATTAAACAAGGCCAAACTGTTTGGGCAGCTTGCAGCCAGCCTGTGAGTAACAAGACCTGATCTTCCCCAACCAAGGACACTTGAGAGCAAATGGTTAATACCTCTCCTTCCTAACCAGAGAATACAGGAAAGTGGGGAGGGGGGAAAGAAGGGGTAGTTTTATCTCAGTCACTAAACAAAGAATTCAGCAGTCTTGGGACTTGCGAAGATAAAATCACCAGATAGATACATGTACAAACATTCTGAGAAATCCACAATAAGTAAAAGGGGGGTCTCGAAATCTAGTCTGCTGCCCAAGATATCTGCCAGATGAAATTTGAAACCTATAGACAGAAAAGTATAAAATTCCTAAACCTGGGTGTCTCGCTTGTGCTTTATGCCAAGGTTATTTTTAATAAATTTGCTTGCTTTGCTTCCTTAACAAATTCTCTTGCTTTGCTACAATGTTACTGTCTGTCACTCCTCTGAAATCTTAGAAGATTGACAAGAGCTGAGGAGGAGACAGCACTCCCTCTCGGACTCAGGGGGGCTGTCTGCTAACATTTTATACAGAACTCATTATATGTATGTGCTACATACCTGTGATTTAAAATATCATACAAATTAATGATCATTACTTTTTAAGATTTATTAATTTTCTGAGTTTTGAAAAATAAGTTTTTCTCTAAGAGAAGCGTACTCATTTTCCAGGTTTTAAGTGGTTTAAATACAGTACTAGAGATTAAAATCAAGACTTTGAAACCAAGACTTTGTAGATCACAGGGATTTCTTAAATAAACTCACATGAAAAATCATTTATTTAAACATTTTAAACAAAATCCACCCTGAACACCTCTTTGATGTTGTTCTAGGTGATATCGCACAGAAATGGTAATATGACCTATTAAGCAACCAATTCTAGCTACTGAGAGGGCTAAGATGGATAATTCAACTTTTAGAATTTAAGACAAAGGACCGCTGAACAAGGTTAAGTAATTCGATGTTACATTTTTTATTTTAATATATTCAATGAATTTCATATGTTTCTGACAGAATCATAGTATCTGCAAATGATCCAAATTGGTTCCCCCAAATTTCAGTGTGTACTTATATTGTTCTAAGCCCAAGAAGTTAGCACATACAGTAAAACCTCGATATATCGGACTAATTCGGGTGAGTGTGCTTTAAAGCAGGAAGTCTGTCATATAATAAATTAGGTTTTCTGAATGTGGAAGTTAAAAAATTGCCAAGTTAGTTTACCTCTTTTTACTTATATAGACATGTTTGTGTAATTAAAATTAAGTATGCATGAGAAGTTTAATTTCACAGAAAAGTTTTCTATATGTATTACTGTGACTTTAAATTTATAATGAATAAGTCTAGGAAATGTGTGCATTCATCAGTCACTGAGGGTAAACAAGTGCACACGGCTGGGGTGTGGCTTAGTGCATATCAAACATCGCCCAGCACGTTAAAACTGCTGCAGAAAGTCAGGCCACTGGATAGCAAAACCAGTTGTCGGGCTGGATGTGGTTTGACCACATGTTAACCATTCACTGAACTGTTTATGAGTGGTGACTCTTGGATTTAAATATGTAGACTATAGTTGTAGATATGTAATATTTCTTTATGTCAGTGAAATTAATTACTATAATGCTTTTTCCAACATATGGCTAATTCACTAAAACTTGTTAGAAATAACAGTGAATTAATAACAAAAATAACATGTTAATTTAAGTATAAGCAAATATTGATTAGAAGCATTGAAAAAATTAACAGGGTATTACTTTTCACTTATGACGCATGATCCGGAAATTTTGTCCATTAAATCTGAAGTCTGTTAAATCGAGGTCTGCAAAATCAAGGGTTTACTATATAATTATTAGGTTCTAGTTTATATTTCATCTTACCATGAATTTAACTAAATGACATATCTGTCACTAGATGATAAAAAAATAAGCATACCATCATTACATATATATGGATGTTTTCATTTTAAATTAAGCTATTTCTCGTTCAATGTCTTTAAGATATATTTTATTTTTTATTTAGTTACTTTATTCTTCATAATTTCTTCTAATATACATTTGTATCTATGGGGGGATTTCAAATTATACCTTTCCAAGTCTTAAAGCAGAAGCATGAGTTGCAAAATAAATAATTGAGGCATGGATCGCATGAGGCTCTCCTATTCCAAAAGTATAGAGTATTAAAAATTAATTTAAACATTCTTTTTTGGAGTTTAATTATTTTGAAAGATGCCGGAAGACTACTTTGCAATAGTTATATTCATGTGACTAGTTGATTAGTACCCATTTTACAGATCAGTAAACTGTCTGTAGAACAACTTGCTAGGGCTTTCAAAATAAGAAATTTAGTAGCAGAAATTCATTATAGGTTGTTTCAGCTTGTTTCTTCACTCTTGAGAGAGTTTTAAAATGTATTCCTGTGCATATGCAGCATAGTATTTTCTACTGGATGACTAATCAGATACCAAGGTGCAGAGTTCCAGAATTCTGAATATATGATTCAAACATCTGGAGCTATACACATGAGGAATACACAGCTGTGTTTATTTCAATGATTACACATTTACATGACTATACTACATTTATTTAAATGTATAAGCTCTCATATACGTGAGAATATTCAAACAAATGCATTTGGTCTACTTATTTAAATATGCAATTGGAAAATAATTTAAATAAATAATTCACCACTTTTATTTAATCTTACCGTATTTATTTATATAATGTAGTTATTAATATATAATTATAGCTCTTTCTTTTTAGTCTAAAGCAAAATATTTTTAAAAGATTAAAGAAACAAGGGGGATCAAAAGTCATACAAATAAAAATATTTTGTATAGAGATGTTCATAGTTAGCAAGGTTTCAGAAGAATTTGGAAATTCATCAGGAAAGAGAATAAAATCATTTTCAATTGGAATGTTTCCTTTACTCCAATAATGTTATAGTATGGTGAACATTTTGACTGACTTTCAAAGCACTTCTCCAAAGATACTTTTTTTTCTTTCTTTCTTACTACCACTCTAGCTGACAAGATAAACACTTCCTGGTGTTGGTTTAAGATAGTTGGAAAGGGTTTCACTATTTTAACCCCTCCCCCCCAATCTGGTTAAGAATATTAATATAATATCATTTAACTGTACCTTTATTTCTGTAAGAGGAACTGGAGACCAGTAAATTATTTAGGAGGAGAGAAAATAATATTATACCTTGAACTCTATTTCTGGCCTTGATATCTAGGAAGATTTCAGAGAACCTACTATTTTAGTCTATTTGTTCTTTTATATGGTATTTCCTTTCTTAAGGGCATTTTTTTTTTTTTTAAGTTATGCTGGACTGGCCTAAAGGATAGTGACATACTTGAGCAAGAGAGAAATTAAATTGGAAGTTGCATAATTTTTTGGAGGAATTTTAAATTTAATTTAACACAAGTATAAAAATAATGATTATAGGCACTTTTTCATTAGTTAAATTACCGAGTAAATGTAACTTCTCTGGGCCTCAAATCCATCATTAGTAAACTGGATAGTATCTCTCATTGGGTGTTGTGAGGATTACATGAGTATAAAGTATAAATTATTCAACTACCAAATGTTTTCCAAGTTATTTTGTAGATGTGAAAACTGGATTTCTGGACATACCTCCAAAGCTTAGTTGTTGGTTATGTTTCAGGAATCATCTTTCCTACATTGATTAATCTGTTAAAAGCTTGAATTGGCAAACAATATTGTTTTCTGAGAGATTTCCTACTTCCACCAGGATGCTCCCTGGAGACCGATGGATACTGTGCTAGGTGGGACGGGTTCAATAGTCAAAAGAACGTACTTTTGTGTTTTATGTTTACAAAACAAATCGCAGTCCTCATTTTAAATTTCTACCGTCCTTTTTTCTAGGAAGGTATTTGAACCTAGGATTCGGGTCCAAAGGAAGTTACAGCCGCAGGGACAACGCAGTCGCGTCCAGGACCAGCGCAGAGGCGGCCAATCGGAACTCGGGCTGAGGCCTGGTCCCGCCCCCTCCCGCCGAGCACCGCCCCTTCTCCGTCCCGCGCTCTGGTAGGAGTGGAAGTGTGCGGCTGGCTGGTCCGGGCTCAGCCCCTAGCTGACAGGACCCTGTACCACATTCCAGCCGGTCACGAAGTTTACGGCCCTTGCCTTGGCTGAGCTGAGGTGTGTGTGTCCGGCGAGGGAGACTCCTGGGAGGCTGGGGAGGCCCTGCCCAGGAAGCTCGGGATCCGGGACTGCAGGCGGGCGCTCCTCCTTAGCGTGCCCCCAAAGCGTTTTGGAGGCGATCTTTCCGCTCCTGGGAGCGGCACTTGGGCGGGCTGGGCTGAGGGAGGCTCTGGAAGAGGAGGAACCCGGGCCCTGGTAAGCCCAGTAGGTCCGGTAGTGATTTAAGGACCTCTTCCCCGGAGCTAAGCGCTCGCGGTGGGGGTTGTGGGCTGTGGGTGGGCGTGGCCGCCATGGTTGCTAAGAAACGCGCGGTTTCGGCTCCGCCTACGTGTGGGGAGAGGGCGGCTGGACACTGGAAACCTAGCCCCGCCCACCTCCCTAGGCCGGTTGGCTCTTTTGTGCTGTCAGTTAATTCACGTCCATTGATTTCATTCTTAAAGTCTCTGGTTCTTCCTCAGGCCTTCATCTACCATTTTACCCCTCTCCACACTTTCCCCCGCCTTTGTGTCATAATCAACAAGTATCTGCAGACCAAGACATTTGCAGAGAAGAGCTTTAGAGAGCATGAGATGGTTTTATTAGAGGGTGGTGGCGTTGGGGGAGGGGTCTTTTCCTGGTGCTTGAATCCCTGAACCCACAAGGTGTTGGTGTCCACGTGGATGACTAGGCATGGGGACATAGAAGATACGGTTTCTTCTAATTTGGAATTCTTTTTCTTGCTGCTGCCCCTTTGGTCTCAAGGAGCTTTTCAGGAAGTTGATATGTATATGTATGAATGATCTCCCTTTCAGTCTCTACTGTGGAGAGGGGTGATCCGTTTTTTGATTCATTGGCCCATATTAAATAATTGTAAGATGGTAACCATAAATTCCCATTTTAAATATCTTCTTGGCTCATATTAGCTGGTCCCAAATGATTTGGCAGAATAAACATTCCAGAGAGAAAACAAAGGAGCTACTTCCTTTTGCTAGGTTTACTGTATAAATCTCCAAGAAGGAAGATTTTACAGCTTGTTAACAATAGGAAGAACTGTGGCCTAGAAATTAGAAAACTGGCAGGGTTAGAGAATGTTTGTTTTTGGGCAATAAACTTCATAATTTATCTATAATGGGAGGATACTTATTGCCCTTTGTTCTTAAAAAGTAAGGAGGAGGATTGTGAAAGTATTTTTAAAGTAATGATCTCCACAGATGTAAAGTGTTATTGATTACACTTTTAATCTCTCCTTTTGTCTAGGTGATCTAAATTTGTAAACACATAATTAAGATCAATCAAACTTAAAGTGTTTTCAAACTTTCTTGTAATTTCTTCTTTTATCTTTGGGTTATTTAGAACAGGGAAGAAACCCATTTCTCTCCATTATTGATTAGTGCTGGTTAGGTAGCACCAGAAATGTCGTGCATGACACTTTTCCCTTTGGCATCACTAGGTTTTTTTCTAGAATATACATATCCTGAAAGGATTAGGGAAGATTACTTTGTAATCCAATGATGAATGATCATTTTAATAACATACACCATTTTGAGAAGCCAAGGAAAGCTTTTGACTCTACTCTTAGAAAAAGACACAATTTGAAGCATAAGTGGGCCCTAGATTAAGAACATGTGTTTTCGATCAGCTTCTTAAGGAATAAGGAAATTACTCTCTGCTTTGCCTAATCCCAAAGAGAGACTGGGTAATTTATATCCAAAACTACATAGCTGGAAGCAGAATTGGGTATTTCTTCTTTCTTCCACAGTGCATCTTACCATAGCTTACTTTAGTTTAGGATCTTCAGCCAATCCCCAGTCCTTTTTCTATTTGTTTTTTTTTCAAACTTTTAACAAATGTTGAAAAGGAACTACCAATGTTGAATAAATTGTTGCTGTCTTTCAAAACTACATCAGCTGTATTTTATTTCAAATGCCCTTTGATCATTCTCTTAAATCATATTTCTATATTTAAGGACGTGAAGAGAGAATTTATCAAATATTTTGGGAAAATATTAAATTGTATTTTTGAAGTAAATAGTAAATACATAAATTTTCTCTTTGATCAAAGTCCTTTCTGGACAAAGAAAATATGGTTACATATGCTACTGGAATATTATTACCTGACTCCTAAAACTCTAAACTTAAGTGAAAATTTTTTTATAATATTTTAATTTCCTGTGGCTAAAAAAATATTGTAGATGGTTCCACTGTGGCTCTTTTCCAGATTTCTGTTTTAAAATAAAAGGTTATAAATAGTTTCTTTTTTTGCTCAAGTTTTTTTATCTAGCTTTATCAATAAAAGTGGGCATTAGTAGTGGATATTGTCATTAAATATGGAAAACAATGAAGAGGGAAGAATATATGGCTTTGTAATAAGCATAACAGTATATAGGAACACCTTTTATTTAACATTTACAATTTCATTCAAACTGTTTAACATGTTAAAAGGTAAGCTGAAAAAATATTAAAAATTTTGAGTTTATTTGAGCAAAAATTGATTTGTATTGGTCAGCATTCAATCTAGCAGAAAAGAGCTGTAAGAAGGTATACAAAATGAGAAACTTTTAGGCAGAAGGAAGTGGGAACAAGGAATTTATTCTGGCAAAAAAGTGGGTTGGGTGTATTGCAAGGTTACTTTCCTTTAGCCTAGCAGGGGTGGGGAACCTCTAGCCCGTGGGCCATGAAAGACCCGTGAAATCAATACCAGCTAACGTCACAAGCCTCTCCAAATTAGCCTGACCAAATATAGCGGGCTACTTTTTAAGTTGATAATTTTGTATGGCCCAAGAATGATGTTCTAAACATCCAAATGGCCCTTGGCAGAAAAAAGGTTCCCCACCTCTGCAGGGGATGGCAGGGGGCCTATCAGGCAGGTTATGTAACTAGTTAGTGTTGTTCAGGCGATTCCTGATAGACAGGTTTAAGATTCCATTTCTGGGAGAGTTGAAATAATGTAATTAAGTCTTGGTTTGGTGATGTGGTGCTTAGCATAAGCAACTTCATTTTGGGCCTGTTGTCTTGCTTTTAATGAGTATTTGACTGTTCCTTTCTTTATTCACTGTGGAGGAACTGGAATAAGGACAAATAGATTAGAGAATTAATAGTTTTTTGAGGATTAGAAATAATAGCTCTTTTTCTCTCTTGGGTTTGTAAACAAACAGGTGGAGTTTGCAGTATCAGTGTTGTTACTTAAGAGCTGATTGGGCATATTGCTTTAGATGAGAGACCAGAAATGAGTACTAGTACCTCCTGTCCTCTATACTTCTACTCCCTTCCCCAGAACCTAGTTTAGTCCAGCTGAGAGAAAATTTCAGTGTGCAGAACAGATACACTGACAAAGAGTTACTGCTCTGCATGGTCCAGGACAGAAAGAGAGTAAAAGAAGGCAAACCTTTAGTGTTTACAGGTTTATAATAGGTTATTTCTACCCATTGGAATAATGTGGACCAATGATCAGATAATTCTCTTATTGGGAAGCTGTGACTAAGGAGTGAGAGGCCAGGACTGTTAATCTAGTGCTCCAGTTTTCCATTCTGGGTGATACCTCTGGGCCACCTGAAATGGGTGGAGATGATATTAATTTATTACAATGTCTTTAAAAATCTTTACTGGCTTTGGGACCCTACAGTTTAGGGATGTTCTATGTTGTATGATGTGGAGATCCACCAGCTCAAAGAATTTCTGTCTCCTCCTTCAAAACCAAAAATACCTCAGTAAGGACCACAGTTCTAGTGGAAGTTCCTTCGTGTAGAAACGTGAGGCTAGTCTTTCCCCCTAGTCTTTGTTCATACATATCGATATTTTTAATATCAATAGACTTGGCTCTAAGTTCTGCTTAGAATATAGTTATTTTCTGGTATTCTTTCAGAATGATTAAAATGATATTAATGAAAAATAGTGATATACATTTTATCATATTTGATATCCTCAGGACATTTTTTACTTAACAGATAAGGATCATAGAGTCTTTGAACCAACTCTTTTTCTACCTGTTACATACATTTAATCCTCTCTTATGTGATAGAAATGTTAAATCTCTTTACAGTAGAGTGAGACAGATGTATGTTTTCATGAAAAAGAAAAGGTGATTAGCTTACCTCTTACTTTTGAAATGTTAAGCAACAGTAATAGAAAGATAATACTCAGTACTGGGAGGTTTAACTAACACTGTTTTGTTGAATCAGAAGGTGGAAACAGTTCCATAAATGAGAGGATCTTATCAATTTTATGGTTTTCAAGCTACTGAGCATGAAGAGTGATAGAAGGAATAAAAAAGTTTGGTTCTTCTATAGCAGTTTTATGTAGTGAGAAAGCTGCAAAAAAAGCAGACCTATTAGATTGAACAACTTAAAATTTAGGCAAAGACAGAAGGAAGATGGTTTAATCCAAAGAACATTTTTTGCATATTTAACATTTTGAATATTAAAAATATTTAAATACCAGTATGTAAAATAATAAATTATATGGATATTTGTGGCAAAATCCTTATTGTGTATTACAATTTATAACCTACAGCAGGGAGGAAGTACACTAGACTGAAAGTTTTAGACTTGGTTCCAGCGTAGATATATCATTTTGTCGGATTTTATAATGTTTTCAGGCATCAAATTCTTCCCTTGTCCATGAATAGAAAGAGTTGACTTATGATTTGCTACCATTTTTTTTATGAAGACTATGCTTGCGTATTGCATAATACATTCTCATTATTCACAGTGATTCAATAAAGTAATGAATCTTTCCGGGCAGGGCATATCATAGTTTTTTTTTTTTTTTTTTTTTTTTTTTCAGAATGGGAAATTATAATTTTAAGAAGAACCTCCCAGTTTCTGATTCTATATTGTCAGTTTTCTAGAGGTCCATTCTCTCTTCTCTCCTCAGCATCCCCCTCCCAATACATACACACATTTGGTAAACACTGGACTATGTGGAAGTTATCTATGCATTCTCTTTCAATGCCAGAATGTCCTGGATAAATTTAGCATTTGAAATGAATCAAGTAGAACAAAATATCCCTTAAAACCAAGG